GCGTTGTATAGCGCAGGAAAGCACCGCTAGAGACGACGCATCGCCAGCCGATGAGTCTGGTGCGCCGCGCCGCGCCATGCCGCGCCGAAGACCGGATAGAGAAATTCCTAGAAGTCCGGAGTGTCTAGGATCGATCGGCGAGCGTGAATGGAATAGGGTTCGACAGTCTCGGGAGGTGTTTTCTTTTTTTTTTCCTAGATGCAAGCGCGAACGTAATTCTACGGTGTGGAAAGATTAGAAAAGATGTGTAGACTGGAGATTCCTGGGAAACTAGAAAGACCGCGTGTACAATGAGAATAAAAACAAATGGAAGGACAGAGATATGTGAATATTTTAGAATTATGTAAGAAAAATTCGAGCGTAAATTGGAAGATTTGACGAATCAAAAGATAACCTGATAAACCAGTGATTTAACATTTAAAGATGTAGAAGCCGTGGTCACGCGATTATAAAATTGTGAAATCTATTTAAGAGAGATTCTCGACAAACAGAAGATGAAAGTTTTATAGTGTCAAAACAAATAACGCGCCTTGATTAATTACTAGAACAATTACATAATTATTTTCATTATATCGTAGTAAAAGTCTAATCGTTTAGAATCAAAAATATTAACGCAATAAGAACGCGAAAAGATGTTAGATTTTATTATTTTTTTTCTCTTTTTCCCCTTCCCCGTATGTATTGCATAGAATTGCTATGTCGATAACACTACAAAGCGCAGCCGGAGGTCGACGTAAGGCGATCATTGGTCGAATTTAAATTCAAGTTTCGCTCGATCCGACGAGACGATGTTCCGCGACAATGAAACGACAACCTAATGCGTCCTCGAGGCCGTATTAATCTTCTACTTAAGCGGCATTCTTCGGCTCTTATGATTGACTCGCAAACAAGGTGGAGGACGAAAGAGCGATTACAGGTTTCAGGAACTTTTTGAAAACTTAATTACGCTAAATAAAATTCTATAACGTTTGAAATATTTTACAAAATTTAGGCGTTATTAAGCTCAGTATCGAAAAAACTGCTCCTAATATAAAATAAGAAGGATCTTATCTTAATCGAGATATACTTAAAGGATTTTCAAGTTAAGTGTGTTTTCTTAAACAAATTATAGATTTGTTATTCACACAGGACGATCATAGAAATCCTTTCCCCCTTCTTCCTTCTCTGTAGAATCAAGTTATATCCACATGCAGAGTAACATCTGTAATTTTAATCCATGCGCTACGTTTGCCGAGCGCTTTATGTTATAAAGTTTTTAAATAAAGGAAATCAAGTCTATGAAACTTGGACTTTAAATAATCATATTTAATTAATAGTTTAGCGCATAACGCATGTAAATGAAACGCGATCGTAAAGCAACCCGCCATTTCATATCCAAGTCTGTGCTCATCTCGGCTCGTGAAAATTACGCACAGTCGTTCCCTCGGAGGATTACGCATTGGAGCGCATTATTAATTTCTATATTTAACGAGGGTTTCGCAACCCCGGGCGCGCGCGCGCGCGCGCCCGAGAC